GATACAGCCACTATGGAGAACAGTATGGAGGTTCCTTAAAAAACTAAAAATAGAACTACCATATGACCCAGCGATCCCACTACTGGGCATATACCCTGAGAAAACCATAATTCAAAGAGTCATGTACCACAATGTTCATTGCAGTTCTGTTTACAATAGCCAGGACATGGAAGCAACCTAAGTGTCCATCGACAGATGAATGGATAAAGAAGATGTGGCATATATATACAATGGAATATTACTCAGCCAAAGAAACAAAATTGAGTTATTTGTAGTGAGTCGGATGGATCTAGAGTCTGTCATACGGAGTGAAGTAAGTCAGAAAGAGAAAAACAAATACCATATGCTAACACATATATATGGAATCTAAAAAAAAAAAAAAGGTCATGAAGAACCTAGGGGCAAGACAGGAATCAAGACACAGACCTACTAGAGAATGGACTTGAGGATACAGGGAGGGGGGAAGGGTAAGCTGGGACAAAGTGAGAGAGTGGCATGGACATATATACACTACCAAATGTAAAACAGATAGCTAGTGGGAAGCAGCCGCATAGCACAGGGAGATCAGCTCGGTGCTTTGTGACCACCTAGAGGGGTGGGATAGGGAGGGTGGGAGGGAGCCGCAAGAGGGAAGAGATATGGGGATATATGTATATGTATAGCTGATTCACTTTGTTATACAGCAGAAAGTAACACACCATTGTAAAGCAATTATACTCCAATAAAGATGTTAAGAAAAGGGACAACAGGCGCAAAATGGAGTCATTTATGCTAAGCCCCACCAGGACTTAAAGCTAACCTAATTACAGTTCCAACCTTCTCCAAGAATGTGACCTATAACCAGCCAACCTGGAATTTCCTGAACAGCACTTGGAAATCCACTGATAGACCCCTTCCACTGCCCTTAGGAGGGCAACCTAGCCTAAAACAATGCATTCTTTGCTATTAATTTCCTCTTTCCCCTGCTTCTTCTCTGCCTTCAAAAACCTTTTCCTTTCCTGCAGCCTGAAGGAGCTCCTTTCTATTGCTAGATGGGATGCTGCCCAATTCACAAAGAGTTTAATAAAGACAATTAGATCTTCCAATTTAGTCAGCTGGACTTGTTATTTAACACATGTAAATTCTGTCCTGGCCTTCAATCGACTTCCCTCCTCCACTGTGGAAGGAGCTATTTTTGCCTGAATTTGCACATTCATTTCAACATTCCTTTACTCCATATAAATTTGTGCTGTTTTGATATCTCGTTCAAATCTGTTTTAACATCTGCCTAGTTCTCTCCCTGATTAATGAGTTAAGTAAAATTTTTAACATCTGTTCATTTTTACATGTGTATGAGTCATGATTTTACCCTTTTTTGAAACTCATGTTAATTATTTATGATTGATAGAAATTCTGCCCTTTAAAATGACAGCCATCTGTAAAATTGTTTTGTGTAACAACTTTTAACAAGAAAGTATGTCAGTAAGGAAATAAGCAGTACCATGATTCATTTCAAAGTGCTGCAAGTTGAATTTCTGTGCCACCATCCTCTCCATATTCATTTTTTAAGCAGGAAAACAAAAATCCCACTTCAGTTACTCATCTTCCAGAAGTGGGTTCTGAAGGTGCTGCAGGGAACCACCCACCCTCTGCCCCCAGGCCTTCTCATGGCTGGTTCCTTCTTGTTATTCAGATATCAGCTCAAAAAGCACCAACTCAAGACCTGCCTCACTGACCTCAGCCCAACCTCTCTCATTGTTTTGTCTGCTCTATACCACTTATTACCATCCAAAATATCTTGTGCCTATATTTGTGGACCTGTTTCTCTTTGGCTATCTTCCCTCTCTAGGATATAAATGCAAGGAGGTTGTTTTAGTCACTGCTATGCCCCCAGGGCCTTTGGTTGTATCTAGAACATACTACAACCCCGTAAGTATTGTTGAGTGGCCGGATGCGCTGGGGGGATAGAGCGCTGCTCTGCGAGACGTTCAGAAACAGAATTCCTTATGCCTGGGACCTGAAAGCATCTCTCTTCCAGGGTGGTGCAGAAAGGAGACAAGCTCTTGGAAAAGGGGTTAGCTGGAGAGCTCTTTTTGTGATGGTTAATTTTCTAAGGCAACTTGAATGGGCTAAGCGATGTCTAGATAGCTGGTATACCATTATTTTTGTGTCTGTGAGGGTGTTTCTGGAAGAGATTAGCCTTTGAATTGGTGAACTGAGTAAAGCAGATGGCCTTCCCCAATGTAGGTGGGCATCAGCCAATCCGTTGGGGGCCAGGATAGAACAAAAAGGCAGAGGAAGGGGGAACGCGTGATCTCTTCTCTCTCTGAGCTGGGACGTCTATCTTCCCCTCTCTTGTGCTTCTGGTTACTGGGCTGCCGGGCTTCAACTGAACTGCACCACTGGCTTTCCTCATTCTGCAGCTTGCAGACAGCAGACCATGGAACTTCTCGGCTTTGATAATCACGTGAGCCAATTCCCATGACAAATCACTCTCTCTCTCTCTCTCTCTCTCTCTCTCTCTCTCTCTCTCCCTCTCGATATATCTCCTATTGGTCTTCTTTCTCTGAAGAACCCTAATACTAACAGAATTGCTTTGCCCTTAAGTTTCTAGTGAATGAAGAGGTCAAATATGAATGCTAGGAGTTCACCAACCTCTCCCATGAAAAATTTTCAGCAGTAAATTGCTTAATATCTTCCATATCAGTCCAGCTCCAAATTTCGTCAGTGTTAGTTCCTGAACATCTCTTGGATTTATCCTGTTTCACCTCCACTGCCTGCCAAGTTAGCTGTCATTTGCTGCCTGGTGTCTACAGACACATTTCTCCCCCTACTTCCTCCCCCTACCTGCCCCCCGCAATCAAATCTCTACCTAGAATTCACTCAGCTAATATTTATGGAGTTCTAACTACACACCAGGTACTCTTCTAGGTGTTGGGGATACACACTGAGCAGACCCATAGGGTTCCCGGCTGTGGAAGAGCTGGGGAGGGAGGACAGACTTAAAACAAGGAGACCAGTAACTAAGATCATCTTAGACTGGGATAAGTGGTCTGGGGAAGAAACTGGTTGGGGAAGGGGGTGGGGTGAGGCCCAACATTAATGAGGATGCTCATAGAAAGTTCTTGAAAAGGGTGACATCCAAGTGCTGCAGAATAGAGGCCGCCACGAGAGTACCTAGGTTGAGGGGAGAAGGGAGGTTCTAAGCTGGGAATGCGGTGAGAGCAAGGCCGAGAGTGGGAGGAAATGAGGACAGAAAGCAGGCAGAGAACAGACACCATGGTGGCGGAGAAGATGGACTTTGTTCTGTTTTGTTGTTTTTGTTTTAAATAGCAAATGTTATTTTATTTTTTTAATTAATTAATTTACTTTTTTAAACATCTTTATTGGAGTATAATTGCTTTACAATGGTGTGTTAGTTTCTGCTTTATAACAAAGTGAATCACCTATACGTATATATATATCCCCATATACACTCCCTCTTGCGTCTCCCTCCCTCCCACCCGATGGACTTTATTCTAAGAACAAAAGGAAATTTTTAGCTCAGCAATCCCCACTCCCTCCCTCAACACCCCTTCCCTTCAACCATTAGGTGTTTCAGTGTTACCTCTCATCTGTTCTCTTAATTTCCACTCCCACCAGTTCTCTCAGAGTACAGCTCATCTTTTGTTACCAAGAAATGGGCTGAGAACAGATACCGGTCCCCTTGCCACAGAAACAGCCACCTCTGCATCTCAGCTGGCCACACTGGCACCTGGGTGGATGCACTTGCAAGCCCAGCTCAAAGGGAGAAACAGAAGTGGGCACTCGGCACCTCCAAACACAGTGAACTCAACCCTTCTAAGCGTTTTACTAACCTGTTCACGTGAAATTAAGACCCCCCTCCCCTCCAGAATACCAGTGCTACCATGTGTTCCACAAAGAATGACCAAGAGAGCAAGTGGAATCTCAGCTAGGCCTTCTCACACATGCCTCAGGGTCAGCTGTTCTCTCCATTCCCACTGCTGCCACATTAACTGAGACTATCACCACTTCAAGCCTGAATTCTGAAACAGTCTCCAAGAATGCCTTCCTAGTACCA